TTTTGTCTTTTTGAGACAGGGTCTCACTGTGCAGTTCAGGCTGGCCTTGAGCTCACTTTGTAGCTCAGGCTGATCTCGAACTCACAATGATCCTCCTGCCTCAGCCTCTCGAGTGCTGGGATTACAGGCATGCGCCACCACGCCCGGCTTTGTCCTGTCTTTTGACATCGGCTGTTAAGGGCATGCTCTGGTGGCTGGTGGTTTGCCTTGTGTTGTTCCTAAGACCCTCCTGTTCACTCCTTTCTGTGACACCCCCACCCCCGCCTCAGCTCCTGGGCAGATCCATCGACCTCAATCGCCTGATCACACAGCGCGTGTCCGCAGCCATGTACAAGTCTCTGGAGCTGGCGATCGGACGATTCGAGAGCGAGGACCTGACGTCCATAGTTGTAAGTACTGGAACGAGTTTCACTTTCGCCTTCGCGATAAATTGCACCAACAGCTGGTTTCCATGTTGTGTAACAGGAGAAGATCCACGCCAGCGGAGCTGGGCCCACGTCAGGACCCTTTCCGCACCCACTCTTCATATTTGTGACTTGGGTTAACTTTCGGGTAAATAACCCTAGTCTCAAACGAGCTGCAGCTAGGGTAAAAGGTAGCATACTACCTATTCAGTCGCGTGCTGGTATTGTAGTACTAGTGAGCTAGTTGATAAACAAGTTTTCAACTCTTTATTGTAATAATCACAAAAGGATACATTTGTCAGCTTTTCATCACTAACAAAATACCTGAGAAGGGCTGTGCGTGCTGGCACACACCTGCAATCCCAGTACTCAGGAGGCTGAGACAGGAGGTTTCTGAGAGTTCAAGGCCAGCCTAGGCTCTATTGTGAGTTCAAAGCCTCGCTGAACTTCATGGGAAGAACCTGCCTCAAAAAAAAGAAGAAAACCCTAAGGAAGAGCAACTTAGAGGAGGGGAGGGTTATTGCGGCTCTCGCTCTCGGAGTTGTGGCTGTGGTCCCTGGGCGCCGTTGTCTCTGCACCATGGTGAAGTGGGACATCGTGGCGAGGACGTGGCAGGGAAATACTCACCTTGTGGCAGCCAGCAAGCAGAGGGACAGCCGGGGGGGAAGAGCCCAGGGCCCAGAGCAGGCCCCACCCCCGTGACCCACCCTTCAACGGCCCTGTGTCGAGTTTCCGTCACTTCCCAGTGACGCCTCAAACCCTGAACCCCACGCGTGCTCCACCCACTCGTGACGCCTCGGCCCCGCAGCCCGCCCCTTCCCAAGCCCCACTCTGCACTGGGGGCCGCGTCTTCAGTACACAGCCCTTGGGGGACCGCTCCACGTCCAAGACATCACCATGGAAACTTCCGGAAACGAGCCTGGCACGATAAAATTGATACAGAGAAAGGCCCCAGATGCTTCTTAAGGGCCCCTGTCTCAGAGCCATTGCATGTGAAAAAGCCTCAGCGTCAGCGTTCGTGGGGACAAGTCACATTGACTGTCGCAGCGGCCAACTCCTTCCTCCACGCACAGGCGAACTCCTGCGCTGAACAGCGTAGCCACAGGGAAGAGCCGCGGTCCCGGGCCACGGAGATGCACTCGCATCAGAGGGAGTGCGGGTGCACAGTGCTGCGGCCCCTGAGGGACTGTTCGGAAGGTGGCCTTGAGACTCCTGAAAACCGCGACCAGCAGAATGAGCTGAAAGACACTGGGAAAGCGGCCGCCGCGCCTTGCTTGGTGGTGCACATCTGCAGGTCCAGGCACTGGGGGAGCTGGGGAGGAGGAGTGCAAGTTTGAGGCCCGTCTGTACAGCTCAGCAAGACCTTGTCTCAGAATAATACAGAAGAGAGAGAAGAGATAGGGTTGTGGCTCGGCGACAGTGCTTGTGCCGGCCCTGGGTTCAGTTCCCTGCACTGAAGATGAAAGAAGTGTATTTGCTGGGAAAGAACAGCATGAATCAGAACGTTTTGAAATCTAGAAATAGGGTAGAAATAAAGTTTTGAAAAAGATGATGGAACTTACATAAGATTTTAAAAACAAAAAATCATTTCAAAAGTGAAAGTTGTATCAGAAGGCACACAATGAGCAGTGACTTTAGAGAGAGATTCAGTGGAAAGAAGAAAAATTCTTTAAGTCAGAAAGCTAAGGCAAAAAAGATTTGAGAGAAAATGACACAGAAGATATGAAGATCAGTGTGCGTTTCTATGCAGAGGTCTCCACTGAAAAGAACAGAGATGAACATTTTTATTTTAAGACAACACTGATAAAATTAAAGACAACTTCAAAGTGCAGAAGGTTCCCAAGGCCTGAGGATCTAAGTGGTAGTGCGAAAACATGCTCGTGCACACATTCTCCTTTTATGTGGAGTGTAGTATTCTGCAGGTTTCCTGAGATGTGTAACCCTTTATTATGAAATCAGCGTTGTGTCCGTCTATGGGCTGGTGTGAGCGTCTGAGCCTCTTTCAGGCCCCCCCTGAGCCGTGAGGTCTGACAGTGTAGGTGTAGTGACCGCACATTTTCAACTTAGGGTGAGTGCCTTGTGGGAGTCAGGTAACATCTCTGTGGAACGTTTGGCACATGTATCCCATGCCTGGGAAGCTCACTCACGTGGCCAGCATCAAGAAATAGAGCCGTAAAGTGTTAGACCTTGAGGACAAGAAAGAAGTCCTTTGTCTCAGCACAGGACTCAGGGAAAGGCAGTCTAATTGTCCTGGGACCTTTGCCAGCACTCAAGGAAAGCAAGTGTGGGCACAGGTTTTGTAGCCAGCCACGTGGATTTTCCAAGCGTAAGGGCGGGAGCTGCAGGGAGTGCACCTGTGAGAAGCAGCTCCGACCGTAGGTGGGTGAGCCACGGGGGGAACAGGAGGAGCCCACAGGGGCCACGGCCGGGCAGGGCTCGCAGCACCTACCTACCTGCGGCCGCGTGCAGGGTGAAAGCGTCTTCCACATCTGCGCGGCGGGCAGAGTCTCAGCCCAGACTGCCTTCTCCTTACACGCATAATTTGGAACAGGGCCGCGTATTTTAATTGTAATTGGCCAAGTATGATTTTGGTGGAAATTAATGTTCAGGCTTTGATCCAGACCAGCAATGTACAATAGAAAGGTAACGCAAGCCATACATATAATTTAAATTTACTCAAAATTATAATAGAAAAGGAAAAAGAACTGAGAACTTGCTCTAAGAATGTTTTATTCACCTGTGATAATTTATGTTAGGCACAGTAAGAGATAAGCAATGATAGCTAATAGTAAAGTAGAATAATGCTCAGGAATAAGTTGTTTAAAACTTACAGAGTGCCGTCTCTGGGAGGCCGCACGTAGCATTCTGGCCTGTGACTCTGTGGGTAGCTGCAGCCTGGGAACCGAGCCGTGGCAGGGGACAGCTGCCAGGGGCGCGTTCCCAAGGGCAGGGTGTGCCTGCTGGTCACCCGCCCCCTGGCCTGTGCTTTCTGGCAGTGAACGTAGGGTCTCGTGTGCTCTAGGTGAGTGCTGCGCTCCGAGTGACGCCCACGCCCCGTCTGCCCTTGAACGGCTCCTGGCGTTGCTGAGCTGTCACTCAGTGCAGAGACCTGAGCGCTGCGCGCCCGCTCGCATGTGCTGTGGGGTGGGCTCGGGCTTTGTCTGCTTGTTGCAGGATTGTAGGGCAGGAGGAGGTGGGGCATCTGCGGGGACTCCGCTCCCGGCTGGCAGGGGCGGGGAGGGGCAGAAGGGGCGATGAGCAGTTAGCGCCTGTGGACGTCCCTGCAGCCGGGCTGTGGGGAGGACGCTGAGAGAAGTGTGTTCCTGTTGTGTGTGTCCTGTGCCACGTCAGTGACCGCCATTGTCCCCGTCCTCCCCCGGTGCTAGGTCCCCTGAGGACTGCGCCTCCTTCCTGCAAGGCGCACTGTGGTCCTCATGCCGTCTCTGTGACCCACAGGAGCTAGATGGCCTCTTGGAAATCAACCGCATGACCCACAAGCTGCTGAGTCGGTACCTGACCCTGGACAGCTTCGACGCCATGTTTCGGGAAGCCAACCACAACGTGTCGGCGCCCTACGGGAGAATCACCCTCCACGTCTTCTGGGAGCTCAACTACGACTTCCTGCCCAACTACTGCTACAATGGCTCCACCAACCGGTGAGCGCGCCGCACACCCGGGACAGGTCTGCACGCCGCCTCGGGCTCGCGGCTCTGCTTCCCCCAGGCTTCCACGGCCACCGTCTCCCCCTTCTTCGTCCCCACTGCTGCTCGTGTCTGGAGCACTCACACCCTCCCACCTCCCCCGCTTGCAAGGGCAGCCCGGACCGGCCCTCGGGCAGGTGGCCTTGGCTTTGCCTGTGGGGACTGTAGGGCTGGGCCGGGCCTGCAGCCTGGGCGGGAGCCGTGGGCATTGGCTGTGGCTCCAGGCTGAATTTTGGGATCCACACTGGGAGTGGCAGCAGCTGTGATGGACGCCCCTGCTGCTGCTGCAGCCTGGAAGGCCGTGTGTGGAGGCCCTTAGCTGCCCCTACCCTCCTACACGTCACTGCTGTCCCGACAGCGTGAAGTGGCTGGTTGGAGGAGTTGGGGCCCCGGGGTCACAGTGTGGCCCAAGAAGGAGCGTGACGGGTGCCGGCCCGGCTGCGGGGGTTCTCTGTGCCCCGCGCCGGCTCCAGTGCTGGCACAGCCCTGGCGCGTGTGTGGCATCCCAGGTTTGCTATAGAGACAGCCCCGGGGAGGTGGTGGGTCCCCTCGCGGCCGAGCCCCACGAGAGGGAGAGGGGTGCCTGTGTGCACCGCGTGTGCACACACCTGTAAAGCTCAAAGAGCGTCTGCTTTCGTACTGGCTGAGTCATTCCTGGCGGTAGGCCCAGCGTTAGGAGGGGGAGCTGATCGGCAGCCGCTGTACCCCAGGAGCCCTGGGGTCTGGCTGTGTTTCCCATGGCGAAGTGGGACTTGCGTGTGTGAGCTGTCAAACGCTACCTGCCAGGTAGCCCTTCTGCGGCCCCATGGCGAGCGCCCACCCTAGGCCGGGGCAGTGGGCACGGAGCTGGCTCTGGAGCCAGGCGCTGCTGTGGCACAGGAGGCTTTGGGGCCTGGCTGTGCATGGTCCCCGCAAACCAAAATTGGAGACGATTCATCCCTGCTTATCTTTACGGCACCTGTCTTTCTGAAATGTACTAAGTTGTTACATAGTCCGAACTAGCTGAAAATTGTTTTTATTATGCAAATAATGCTGCACAATTTATTGTGAAGTTAGAAATCACAGCTACGTAGATGGGGGGTTAAATCCCAGAGGTCTCCCCTGTAAAAATACCTGTCTTCTAGAGTTCTTGGTGTGCAGTTGGCCTTCCGTATCTATGGATTCAGCCACCATGGGTCAAAACATTCAGAACAAATCACACCGTTCCAAATAGGCACAGACACTCTTTCTCGCCATTGTTTCCTAGAGGCACAGTGCAGTCCCGCTCGCGTGCATTTACTTCGTGTTCGGTCCCGTAGAGCATCCGGACAGGACGTCAGGTCTGCCAGGGTGTAGCTACGTAGATTCTGTGCAAATACGATGCCACTTAATGTAAGGAGCTGGTGCACCGCAGGCTTTGGGGACCCACGGGGCCCTGGAGCCAACCACATAGGGGCACTGAGGGCCGGCCGTGGAGTGCTACATTCTGTGTCTTGCGAGAGCGAGGTCACTGGGTGTGCTGTCCTACACCGTCTGCATGTGTCCGTCACAAGGGTCGCTCTGTGCTGGCAGACATGTGCTCTTGTTGCTCTCTGCAGGTGCTGTTGAGGCCTGGCCGTGTTCTCAGGGCCTCTTTGACTGAGGGTCATTGTGGCCCCAGGTGACAGGCAGGAAGCAGCCGCCTGCTGTCCCGTTGTCACTGACACTTCCAAGACCTTGCTCCTCTCTGCGGGTGCCGTGGTCCCGAGTGTTGACTGTCCCTCCCTGGTAAATATGCGGGCCTTTCCCCGCTGTGCGCTTCTTCAGACCGCTCCTGCGGGTGCTCTGCAGTCCGTGGCCGCTCCCCAGGGTTGCAGCTCCTGCGGGGGCCTCTTCCCGGCACAGGGCTGGCGTCTGCGGGGAGTGGCTTCTTCTGCGAGGTCCCCGGTGTCGTGTGGCGCTTTGCGGTCGTGTGCTCTGTGCAGAACGGGCACGGTCCAGCCCCCACGCACTGCGCTCGCCACGCTGTCCGCGAGGGAGGACGTGTCTCGGGGGCGTGGGGGCCTTTCTGACTGCAGGTGCGAGGGAGACCCCTGCGCAGCAGGCTCACTGCCACGCTCCCCTGAGCTGCAGCCAAGGCCAGCTGCCCAGGCACTGCGCAGGAGATGCGTCCAGCTGCCCACGGCGCGAGCGGCGCTGCTCCCAGGCGAGCTCTTGACCATGGGCGGTGCGTAAGCCCTGGTCCTTGTCGGCAGATCCTCCCGTGTCCGCAGGGCTGGGGACGCCACTGACATGTCATGATCAGCAGGGGACGTCTCCCCTGGGGGCAGGTGCAGGCCCTTGTCCTAGGGTGGCCCTGTGTGACCCTGGCCTTGCCGGGGACACCCGTGCCCGAGGCTGGGGAGGACAGGCCCTCCCGGAGGGCGTGCTGCCTGCTGCCTCAGTCCACCAGGTGCTGCCCGTGCTGGGGCCGCTCTCAGCAGGACGGTCTGCACTGCGGGCCTGGCCTCGCCCGCTGACGCAGGACAGCCCTGGCCTCCTCACTGCAGGGGCCCGCTGTAGACGCGGCAAAGGCTGCCCAGGCTGACAGCCCTGCTTGGTGCGGAGGGGGCACAGTGGGGGCGCTGCCCCGCCTCCGGACAGGGGCCCCTTGCTGAGTTCGGCATCCTAACCCTCACATTTTCTTGTCTCTGGCACGGAGTGTAGACAACACCCCAGCCGCGCTGTTGGGTCCACACCTGCAGACCACGGCCCTGTGGGGCTGCTGGGTGCAGTCTGTGAGCCCTCACCTCACTGGGGCCTCCTGCCACGGCTGTCGTCTCCCTCCGGAGCAGCCGGGGCTGCTGGACCCCGTGGGTGTCCTCGCTCCGAGACTCTGCAGGGGCCCCGGCTGCTGGCACAGTCAGCACGCAGTGACTGGGGCTCCTGACGGCCGGGCTGCCTCGGGCCGTCCTGTCAGCAGCGCTCCGGCCTTCCTGGTCGGCTTCCCTGACACCATGCCGGCCTCTCTCGCAAGTCCTCCCTTACCTGGCGTCATTAAACTTGGTTATCTGGAAAGGGCCTTGGAAGACGGGCTTTAGATCCACGATGCAGCCGGCAGCTGGCAGACACGAAGCCTTGTGCCCCGGCAGTGGAACGCCAGGCCCGTGGACTCCCCAGAGCCCCTTGGGGGAGACACGGCTTGGTTACTGCTTGGCGCAGGCGCCCGATTCCCACGAGCACGAGGCCTGCTGCTGGGCCGCAGCTCTGGGAAGTGTGACCGAACGTAGCCCTGGCCCCGGCTGCAGGCTCTGCTTGGGATCAGCTGGGCTGCAGCCTAGCGCAGCCACAGAGGCTGCGTCCTGAGGGATGCGTCGGTCCCAGCGCGCCCCTGGGTAAGGGGAGGGCCGCCTTCTTTCCCGCTGTTGAGGCACCATTTTTCTTTCGATCTGAGACTTTAAACAAACTGTGCATGTGGAAATCTGACTCAGTGGTTTTAGCACCTGTGGGTGATTCTTACCTGAATCAGGCGTCACTGTAGTGATGGAACACCAGCGAGTTTCTGTCTGGTTTTTTGTTTTGTTTTGTTTTTTTGAGACAAAGTCTCACCGTGTATTCCACACTGCCCTTGAGCTTGATGTGTAGCCCATGCTCACCTGTAACTCCCAGTGATCCTCCTGCCCCAGCCTCCCAAATGCTAGGATTGCAGGTGTGCACCACCATGCTGAGATCTTCTTTTTTTAGTGTGTGTCTGCAGAACATAATGAATATATATCTCATGAGTAGATCCATGAACATGTTTTACTTCTTTTTACCTCCTCTTCACCCCCCACCTCCCTGTTTCCTATTGCCTGTCTTTTATTGTGGGCAGCAGTGGGCCCCTAACTTTATCCCCTACAGATACCTGTCAGCATTCTTGGGTGTATGTTAACACTCTTTGATTTGTCTGTTTATGATCAGTAAGGATCAGGGGTTCCAACTCAGGCTATGATCGGTGACTTGCTTTAGATTTTTGTAACTCAGAACTGCCTCATTCTGGGCCCCCTCGGCTGGCTTCCGCTTCCCCGGGCACCTGCGCCATTCTGTAGCATTGCCTTCTGCACCATGAGACGCTCCAGGCTCAGCGTGGCCGTCGCAGTCTGTCATTTCTGCGCGATTCTCATGGTGGAGGATGCACTTAAACACTGAGTGTGAACGCCCCTCCCACGCCCCTCTCTCCCTCCCCTGACAGGGTCTCTCTAAGGCACTAAGGTGCCCAGGCTGCCCTCGAACAGCAGTCCCCCTGCCCAAGTGCTGGGACTACAGCTGTGTGCACCCACACCAGCCTTTTGTGTCTTCCTTTATGTCTAAAGAAACCCTTTGAGCTGAGCTGAAGGTGCCTGCCAACCTTGACGTTTCTACTTGAAAGTTTACCATTTGATTTAAATTGCTCCCGGCCCGTGATCAAGAGGCAATTTCTTCACCGAGTTTGGTCCTAAATGCTGAGTTTGCTTATTCCCTCGCGGTAACCCACAGCCAGTGTCAGGCACCGGGACGGCGCTGCTCCCATCATAGGCGACTGTCGCCCTGCCATCCCAGGTCTGACAGCCAGCGGGGCAGTGAGCACTTGGCACCTGCTGGCACAGGACCGTGGGGCTTGAGGCAGCTCTAGTGCCCGGGCGTCAGCCTCGCCCGAGTCCGGAGACTGCGTCTGTGGGCTGAGGGCTCTGGCCGTGGCTCCTGAACTGCGGACACAGCTTCTGTGTTTCAGAGAGTTCGTGCCAAGTCCCTGCGACGGTTCTCAGTTCACGAAGTTGATGATTGTATCGGTTAGCTGGGAGGAAGATTTAATAGTGGGGAATAAAAAGTTCTGAACTTAAAGAGCCGACATTAAAGTTCGTTTTCTCTTTTTTCTTCATCTTTCTTGCTTAGGTTTGTTCGGACAGTATTACCTTTTTCTCAGGAATTTCAAAGAGATAAACAACCAAATGCACAACCCCAATATTTACATGGATCCAAGGTAGGTGCTTTTGTGTTTGATGTTTTGTGTACATTCTTCTATATTATCATAAGAAGCATATTTTCACATTTAATTTTTTAAATTTTGGGCAACTCAGTATTGCCCTTGCTGATCTCAAGCAGTCCCCCTGCCTCAGCCTCCCTAGAAGCTGGGACTACAGATATATACCATTGTGCTGCCTTGAAATTTAATTTAAATCAGTTCGGTTGCAGTGACTTAAATGTGCTGTGCTTTGTAGCAGGTATTTTTTCTTCCATTTCATTAACATCTCTCTGACACATGGCAGTAATTTAAAAGAGAAACTCCCATTGTGACATCTGCTGTGCTCCTGCTGCTTAGGAGCTGAAGCAGAAGGTGCGATTGAGCCCAGTAGTCAGAACCAGCCTGGGAAACACCATGAGAGGCCGCTGCAGAAAAGGGAAGACAAGACCGGGCGTGGTGGTGCACGCCTGTAATCCCAGCACCCTGGAGGCTGAGGCAGGAGGATCGCAGCAAGTTTGAGGCCAGCCTGGGCTACAAAGTGAGCTCAAGGCCAGCCTGAACCCTATAGCGAGACCCTGTCTCAGAAAGACAAAAGTGGGGGGCAGTAGGGAGAAAGGAAGGGAGGAGACAACTCAGAAAAGCGTGACTTGGGATTAGCTCATGGGGTCTGTGTAGCTCCAGCCACATGGCAGATGTGGGAGCAGGTATCCAGGCTCATTCCTGCCATTCAAGTGAGGCTATCTGTGGTTTAAAGGTTTGAAAACATCAAGCTAAGAAAACGCACGGCAGAGTCCTAGGAGCCCCGTGACTCAGGGCCAGGCCAACAGCCTCAGGCCAGGGTGGGGTGGACGGCGCGGAGGGAGGCCCTGGCCCCCGCAGGCAGCGGCAGCCTCTTCCTGAGCGGATGGAGCCCTTGCCTGTGCCTGATGAAACCCAAGAGATGCCCACAGGTGTTATTAAGGGGTAGTGCTCGTGGATTCAGCCACCCAGGGCTCAGAAATACGTAGGAAAAACTGTCTGAACAGAACACACGTGTGTTTTTGCCTATCCTGACTCTTTAAACAACAGTCTAACGACTACTGATCCGCACATACGGTGTGAGACTCCAGGGTAGCCAGGGAGGCCCTCGGACACGGGCGGGCGTGGCCAGGGCATGTGGAGACGCCACACTGTGAGAGGCAGCTGCAGTGCAGCACGGAGATGCTCATCTCCACGGGCCTAGGCGAGGCTCCAGAGGCGGGGGAGGCAGCACTTGCCTCTGCTCTGCAGGGCTGTCCCGGCCCACAGATGAAGGTGAAGAACCCACATCACCCATGAATGTAACGGCGGCTTTGTGGGGTGGGGGCCCCCTCCTTGGCTGTCGGGCAAGGCCAGGGTCCCTGCCACCGGGCTTCCTGCCGGGGTGCGTCAGGCGCTGCCCTCCTCAGGTCTTCAGTGTTCTGCGTGTGGCGTGTCACCTGGCCGTCGCTCACAGCAGTTAGCGCTGCGCACCCCCTGACGCGTGTGGCCTCTGGGAAATGGCCTCCCTGGAGTTGGCCTGGCCCGCAGCAAGCCAGGAACCGCTGCTGGTGAGTGGCGCCTCTGGCAGACGCCCCGGCCAGGGCAGCGCCGATTCGGTCTCCCGTGAACGTGGGTTCTGAGACTTCACCAGTGATTTGCATGTGGTTTTGTTTCTTTCAAGCATTGACCCCATTACCGACAGACACTTGCCGACAGATTCTTGCTCAGAATCTCAGCGCTCAGAGTCAGAGGTGGGGCTTCGAGGAGGGGTGGAAGCAGGTGTGCGAGCTGAGGGTCAGTGTGGTTCCTCCGAGTCCGATGGGCACGGGAGCTGCCACGGGACCGCGTATGCATGGCAGGATCAGTTTCTGATCTCGGTGGACGTGGTCGCTGTAGTCTTTTAGGATCAGCTTACCCTCGGCTCTGCTGTGGGTCCCACGACCACCCACCAATCGCGATGTTCTACTAGAAGGACTGTTCGGACTCAGCCAGTCGTTTGTGCCCTCAGTCGTGCTTTACTAGAGCAGAAGCTCCCAGCAGAGTCCCACGGGGTAAAAAGACGCGTCGGTGGCACCCGGAGGAGCCAGGCTCAGGCCGCTGCGGTCCTCCCTGGGGTCGCGCGGTGTGCACGGTGCTCTCCCCAGGGAGTTCCACACCCTGAGTCAGCCCACAGGAAGCCAGAAGGAATGACACAAGAGGTGGAGGGAGGGGCTGGGGAGAGGAAGGGGTGAAAAGAATGAAGATGTGTTCTGTACGTGCAGCAGTGCCCTACGGTGGACGTATGGGAAGTTCCTGACTTAGGAACGAGTTCTGTCCCAGGAGAATGTTCATGAGTTGGATTCTTTCGTATCCGACAAAGAGAGTCTTACACGGTACACCTGTGACGTTCACAACTCAGACGTTCCTCAATTGAGGACTTAAAAAAAAAAAAGACAGAAAACGAAGAAAATAGCAGGCTTAGGCGCTACATACCAGTAGTTACGTATAAATATATTAAATATAAACAGTCAGGGCCCAGTGTTGTGGTACATATCTGTAATCCCAGCACTCTGGGAGACTGAGGCAGGAGGATCTCAAGTTAGACACCAGATGGAATGACTTAGTAAGACCTTGTGTCAAAATAAAGGGCTGGTTATGTAACTCAGTGTGAAGACACTGAGGTCAGTCTCCACTGCTGTGATATGAGATTGATAGATAGAGTCTAAGTGCAGTTAAAAGACAGAGCGTGGCAGAATGGATTTAAAAATATAACTGAACTCTAGGGTTCAAGAAATTCACTTCCTATTAATGATCCAGGTGGATGAAAATTAAAAGAGTGGAAAAAACTCTATAAGCCCTGTATATAACTATATAAGCATTCATCACAATAAAGCGAGTGGATATATTTTTACCAGATATTAGCTAATGCAATAGAGTCAAACCACCAAGAAGAGAGCAATTCTAGATGTTTTACGACAAACCACAGGGCTTCTGCACGAGACACAACAGCTGGTGGACATGAAAGGACGAATGGACACCTCCACCCAAGGACTCCAGCTCCCTTCCTAGTAGCTGACAGAAGCAAACACACAGTCAGCACGAGCAGAGACGCCTGAACTGCGCGCTCCGCCGACTGTCAGGCTCTGACCGACAGCACTCGGCACCCCCCCCTCACACAACGCAGCTCCTCCAAAGGGCCGTGAACCGTCACCAGAATGGGCCGGGTATTCCGGCCCATAAAGGACACTTAGGCAAAACTGAAAGATGCGAAATCATATACTGTGTTCCCTAACCACAGTGAACTCAAACTAGAAATCATTTTACGAAAGAAAGATTTAAAAAAATCTCCAAACACTGGAAAATTAGCACACTTCTACGTAAACCGTGGGTCAGAGGCAGTCTCAAGGGAAATTAAAACGCAGTCAGCTGAATGAAAATCCAGACCAACACGAAGGTGTGTGGGCTGCTGCTGAGGAGGTGTGGAGAGGGGGCACCGCGCATTACCTCAGGTCTCCCTGAGCTCTGCGCCTGCGCCCCGAGGGCAGCTCGGCGCCCGCCTCCCAGGGCACCTGCACTGCCCGCTCCCTCGCCCGCCCGCTGGCTGCCCGGTCAGGATCTGTCCTAGCAAGTTTGCTTTTCCTGACAGGTGGGAGACCCCCTCCTGCGAGCGCCGCACATCTTACAAAGGAAGTAGCCGCTGTCTCACCTGGGTGCTGTGTGGGGCGCATGCTGCTGCTCCCACGTGCACATGCGCACGCTGACCTTGTTTAAAACCCTGACCCTCGTTCCCCAGGCTTTGAACCTGGCCTACTCCAGCATTTACGGCAGCTACCGGAACTTCGTGGGGCCGCCGCACTTCCAGGTCATCTGCCGGCTGCTTGGCTACCAGGGCATCGCAGTGGTCATGGAGGAGCTGCTGAAGGTTGTCAAGAGCCTGGTGAGTTTCCCCGAAGGAGCCTCCTTCTCACGGCACGAATTCCCGGGCCAGAGCCGCCAGAGCTCCTCTCTGCCGAGTCTTCAGCGGATGATTCCATTTAGGTCAAACACTTCTGATGCTTTGATTTCTCCCCTATTTTTCCTAACTCAAGAAAGCAGATCCACCATACCTGTGGCCTGTGGTTCCAGCCACTTAGGCGGTCTGATGGGGGAATCACTCGAGCCCAGGAGTTTGAAGCCAGCCTGACCCTGTCTTTAAAAAAACCTGAGTGCATCCAGGTTATTTTAACTGACTCATAGAAGGCATTTTAAATTACCAAAATATTACCTTCCTTATACGGGAATAGAACTCTTTATCACCAGGGATAGGTTTTCCTGTGTTTCCCATGATTCAACCACTGGTCAAGAGAAAGGTTGAAACGGTGGCCGTCTGAAGTGTTCACCTGCCACGGAGATGAGATGGCCGTAAGACTAACAGAATTGTAGGAAGTTAAATCTACGCTGCACAGCTCAGGATTAAAACTTAGTCAGATGTAGGCGAGTTTGGTCATTGATCCTAGGGCCCACCCAGGCTCTGCCAGGGCCCCAGCGGGACATTCTGTCCCCACATGTACGGCAGGTCTGAAGACGTTGAGATTCCTGGCCCACGGCTGAGCACAAGGGTGACCGACCCAGCCCTGAGGCTGTACCAGACCCATCAGAACCCGGCACTGCCCACTGTCCTGTGAGGGCTGCAAGGGCTCTTGGTGTCAATGGTGCATCTGCAGAGAAGGTGCTCGACGGCCCCAGCTCTCCTGCCCTCTTCCGGCACCTTCAGGGCCCCTGCGTCTCGGGGGCACATGATCTACAGCGTCAGTGTGGCGAGCCGCGCAGACACCTGGTCACTGTTCTTTCCCCAGTGGGATTTCACTCCCCTGCTGGGGCAGTGCCTCAGACTGGCCACAGGAGCACATTCTGTGAACAGGCCCGTTCACGGTGCATGCCGTGGCCAGCGCAGCCCTTGTCTCCCCAGCTCCAGGGCACGATCCTGCAGTACGTGAAGACGCTGATGGAAGTGATGCCCAAGATCTGCCGCCTGCCCCGGCACGAGTATGGCTCTCCCGGTGAGTGTGGAGGCCTGGGCTGTGGAGCTCATGGTGGTATCCACGAGGGAAGGGAAGGTCAGCCCTGAGGCCACAGCAAAGGAAAGAGAGTTGGACGTTATTGGGAAGAAGGAGCGCTGCCTTCCTGGGTGGAGGAGATAAAGAGCCTGAACCAGAGCCTGCCTAAGGGCTGTGCCTGCCCACCAGGAAGCACGTGGGCAGGTGTGGTAAGGTCCCCGTCAGCCAGTGAGGGTTAGGTGTGGAGGTCGTCAACGCTCTGAACACTATTCCCCTGCATACCCCCGCCAGAGAGTGCAGGGAGCTTGACTACACCAGGGCCTGCTACCCTCCCGGGCCCACAGACCACTCAGCCTGAGGCAGCAGCTGTCTTGTCCGTCAGATGATATATTCCCCCCCGGCCCGTTCCAGCCTGTCCTGTGTGCAGGCTGTAGCTCTCACGCAGCTGTGTCCTTCAGGCCCTGCTCGTGTGCACTTGAATTGCTGCTGTTGGGCTATCTAAATAAGCAGCTCTAATGGTTTCGAAAAGTACTGTTCTTGATTATCTGAGCCAGAGGAACCTTTGTCGGTTAGGGCTGGCTTTTGTCCTGTGTGACAGTCTTTTGTAAGTTGCAGAGCTGAACACTAGCCTTGCCTTCAGTGACTGGAGCCCCATGGGGGTGACTGACGGGAGACTGACCGGTAGCAGCCCGCTGGTGCAGCCTAACACCTGGACATACCTGCTGTTGGTTTTTGGTTTCAGGGAGCAGTGGGGGACTGCTCTGCCACCAGGAAGGAAATCCAGGGTACTGCGGCCTGCCCTTGCTTAGAGGAACCCAGTCTTAGCGCGTCAGAGAATAGACGAATACTGTTGGGTAACAAAAGGACAGGATGGGAGCTTTAAACCATAGAGGAGGCCACGTAAGCACATTCAGCACAGGAAGAGCTGTCCGCTCCCAGAGGCCTTCCCGCAGCGAGATGGCCGTGCTGCAACCGGCAGGAGCCAAGGCAGCAGGAGCAGGGGCATGGGCCGTGGTGAGGGAGGGGCTGTCTCCGTGTACGGGCAGGCAGGTTTGTGAGGAGTGGCCCTCAGGGCATGAACTAGGGACAAGGACTTTCACTGATGTGCGTTGCACATCCAGCTTCCTACTCCAGGGTAATCCGGGCCTGAGTCTCCTGCCTTGTATGTGCACTCTGGAATCAGCCTGTTGGCTTTTGCCTGGGTTTGCACTGAAAGTATAGACCAGGAGTACTGGCTTTCTTTCTAGTCTTCACGCCTGCGTTTTTGCATGCTGCTGTAACAGCAAAGATCGGGTTGTATTCCCACAAGAAAGCGAAGGACTCTATTTAGAAACAGAGTTTATTAATTTGAAGCTAGCCACCCTTCATCCCTGACTTGCAAGTCAGGAAGTGGGCATGGGCCTGCCTTTGTTCCCACCTTGTATACACTTTTGGTTTCCATGGTAACAGATTGGAATGTTGCAGCCCTGGCCACGTTGTTTTCCTTGTGCCACGAACCAGGTCAGGCTCCGGTCGTGAGCCCAACCACAATGATATATACTTTCTGTACTCTGTTCTGTATGTCCCCCCTTAGACAACCATACATTTCCTTTATGGTTACAACGTTCATCTAGGGCCAGGGAAGGGATGAAACAACCCAGGCAGGGTCACAGGTGGTTATCCGGGCCCTGGTGTTGTCTTTGGAGAAGCATTCCAGGGCTAAGTGAGGACTGCAAAGTTAACTTTTTACAACCCCTCCGGGGTGTTTTGAAGCTTACACTAAGACTAAAATTTTCTATCTTAAAACGATATGCTAAGAGTCGCCGTCCCCTACACTATGTTGCATTGTCCAGGCACTGGTGAAGCTCTTGCCGCTTTTCCCAACTGTGACATGGCCGCAGAGTCTGGTATCCGCCCTCGAACAGGTGGGGGCCTTCACTTCAGTGCCTGCAGGGTGTGGTGCACCTGTCAGATGCCTGTCTGCCTCTGCGGGGCTGCCGGTCCCTCCTGCATTCTCACGTTGTGGCGGTAATTCCTATTGTCCTCCACCTTTTCTGAAGAGATGGGGTCGCAGAGGTGGCGTCCCATCACCCTGGGCTCAGGGCCAGGAGGTCAGTGGGGCCTGGATGCTGTGCCGTTCACGTCATCAGCACGCGTCCAGTGGCCAAGGAACCAGGGTGCCAGGCGGCCGTGCCCCTGCCGCCTCCGCCAGCTCCCGCTCGCCCTCGCCCCGCAGGGATCCTGGAGTTCTTCCACCACCAGCTGAAGGACATCGTGGAGTACGCGGAGCTGAAGACCGTGTGCTTCCAGAACCTGCGGGAGGTGGGCAACGCCGTGCTCTTCTGCTTGCTGATCGAGCAGAGCCTGGTGAGTGCCTGGCCCCGCTTCCCTGCTACCGCGGGACGGCTCCGACCAGGCCGGGAAGCACCCTGCTGGGGAGGTTTCACGGGAACATCAGAAGCGGTGTTAGAAAGCCCCATTTTTTTCTCATGGTCACTTATTTGAAATTTGTTCTCTGCATCTCACAAACGAAAAGGTAATATTCATTGTTATAAGGTCTTTCGTTTTTTGGTTTTTTGTTTCTTTGGTACCAGGAATTGAACTCAGGACCTTGCACTTGCCAGGCAGGTGCTTGTGCCACTGGGCTATATCCCCATCCCCTTCCCAGGGAGATTGTTGCTATGTTGCTACCTTTTTTTTTTTTTTTGTCTTTTTGAGACAGGGTCTTGCTATGCAGTTCAGGCTGGCCTTAAGCTCCCTTTGTAGCCCAGGCTGGTCTCGAACTCGTAATGATCCTCCTCCCTCAGCCTCCGGAGTGCTGCTACTTGAAGTGTGTCTTTGTGGGCCTGAGGACTGTGAGGGCAGAGCTATTTCCGAAACAGGCTCCAAGTGCCTGGAGCCTACTTCAGGGCGTAGGGACAAGGTGCCGAGCTGCTAGGGGCTAAGCTGTGGGCTCGCTCCTCACACCTGTACACAGGTGTGGTGATACTGTTGGCGTGCGGGGGAGCCAAGGTCAGGTGTGCACACATCTGGGAACTGAAAGCTTCCCGGGACCACATCTTCGGGCCCCCTTTCGTGCAGTACCCTAGATAGTGGCCAGGGGGACCTGCAGCAGCGGCCTCGGACTTCCTTGTCCTGCTCACCAGGGCCCAAGCCCCCCCTCCCATGACACATCTCTGCGTTACCCCTGCCTGTTGGCAGACTACTCAGTGGGCCTTGTCTTCAGCAGGTTTCTCAGCACCCCCTAACGTGGCTTCCCTTTCTCTGCCGCAGTCTTTAGAAGAAGTGTGCGATCTGTTGCATGCGGCCCCTTTCCAGAACATCTTGCCACGAGTCCATGTGAAAGGTAAGCCTGTATGTCCGCCCTGGGGTCCAGGCGGCCCTCTGCACACTGCTTGGGCTGGGGGAGGCTTCGGGGCCTGTTCAGCCACAGCTCCGGACAAGTGGAGGGGTGTGGGACGGACCCTAGTTAAATGAGTAACAGAGAGGGAAATGTTCATGCTGAAACCATGTCTAGGACTTGCTTCAGAGCGGCAGGGGAGTAGGGGCAGGTGAGCACGCAGAAAACATCCGTGGCCATGAGCTGGTTGTCCCAGCAGCCGAGCGATAGAGTCTCACTGTACTCTTCTGCTGTAGCTCAGATCTGAAGTTTTCACTAAGTTTAAAAAAGGAGTATTTAACAAAATCAGTTCTGTTAGGCTTTGTTATTTGTGCTCTTTTCAGTTCATTGCACGACGGACTTATACCAGTCCCAGTTGAAAGTAGACCGCAAGTGGAAACACTACATTGAGCAGATCTGTCAGTCCGAATTATAACATTAAATGTAAAAACAAAGACCAAATGCATTAGTTCTACAAAATTTCCTTCCAAAGAGAATCCATGTTCATGTTAACAATCTTTTCAGCAGAAATTTAACAAAAAAGGAAAGTATAATAAAACATTTTCCCACTGCAGAGGGGGAGAGGCTCGATGCCAAAATGAAAAGGCTGGAGTCGAAGTACGCCCCGCTGCACCTCGTCCCACTGATCGAGAGGCTGGGGACCCCACAGGTAGGTAAAGTGTGCTGTGGCTGCCGAGGGCTTTAGGCCTGCAGTGAGCGGGGTAGGGGCGTCAGGAAATTATCTTGGGACCAAATGCGCAGCAGCCCCCCAGCTCGAGGGGAACGCATTAGAGACCACCTTCCAGGGTGTGTGTACTGTGAATGAGCTCCTCACATCACTCAGTGGCTCAAACATACACAAGTGTTACTGGACACCGTACATCCCTTCACAAAGAAGGCTTTTTGAAAGGGTTACGAGCGAAGCAGAGCCTGGAGCAGGGCAGCAGGGCGTGTTCCACGGTTCCACGCTGGCTTATGCTGCACTCCCGTGCCCCGGCCTCCGCGTGCTTGCCACCCTCAGGGGGCATCCTGTGCAGTGCAGGGTGTACGGCAGCATCCCTGATCTCTGCCTGTTAGATGCCCGCAGACCCAGCCACACTGTGAAGACCGAACACACTGCCAGACGTGCCGGGAGGCAGAGTCACTAGCAGCTGAGAACAGCTGCTTCCCCTGGACGGCAAACTAGTCAGTCTTGTGGGATATGTAGTTACCGAAGCTTGCTTGTTCATGCTTGCTTCCACACCTCCTCTTCTGCCCGCTAAGTGTTCTGACAGCCGTAAACAGTGCCGCCCCTGGTTGTGCTTTCTGCAGCAAATTGCAATCGCGAGGGAGGGGGACTTGCTGACCAAGGAGCGCCTCTGCTGTGGCCTGTCCATGTTCGAGGTCATCCTGACCCGGATCCGGACCTTTCTGGACGACCCCATCTGGCGCGGGCCTCTCCCCAGCAATGGGGTCATGCATGTGGATGAGTGTGTGGAATTCCACAGGCTGTGGAGCGCCATGCAGTTTGTGTACTGCATTCCTGTGGGGACACACGAGTTCACCGTGGAGTAAGTGTGTGCCGTGTGGCGCTCTGGAGAGGGCAGTTCCAGGGCAGTGGGAAGAGGCCGGGACGTGGAGACGGGAGAGGTCTCCTGGAAGGGGTCGGACGTACAGCACGCTACTTCAGGGCCACAGAGGGGGGGCTCCTTTCTTGATGCCAAAGGGAGGACCGGGACTTGCATGAAGGAGCCCCTGAACACACACGCACTGAACACAGGTCAAGCTGCGGGTTTCCGGGGGGCAGGCCCCTCCTGTCATTCCGCCCCAAAGGTCTGACAGAGGTTAGGAACTGGCATGCCAGAGTTCAGACGGTCTTTAGCAAACCCGGATCCCCGGCTGCTGGGATCCTGCTTCTGGCTGTGGACGGCGATTGTGAGCGAGATTCGGACAGCCTCGAGGGGCGCCTGGAGCACCCGCAGGACAGGCTTCCGGGCGTCCGTCTGTCCTCTGACCGCTGTGCGCTCTTGCTCTCAGGCAGTGTTTCGGCGACGGGCTGCACTGGGCCGGCTGCATGATCATGGTGCTGCTCGGGCAGCAGCGGCGCTTCGCGGTGCTGGACTTCTGCTACCATCTGCTCAAGGTACAGAAGCACGACGGCAAGGACGAGATCATCAAAAACGTGGTATGTGGGCAGGCCTTCCCGGGGCCGCCTTTGCTTTGATTAGAAGGTTCTGGGGGCTTTTTCCTCCTAGAAGTGAGCCTTCACCAACTGAAACGTTCCTTCCCTTCCCAAAGTAAACCTGAACACGACTGGCAAGTGTAATCGGCAGGTTTAAAAAACAAGAAAGCTGCCACTGTCTTTCTCAGAGCGCCCAGACCTTGTCTGCAGGGTCTGCACTCTCGTGTTACTGGCACCGTCCCAGTCCTCTCGTACAGTGCAGGGAATGCCTTGTCTTCATCCTTTTACGGATTCCTGACAGTTGAATTCTGGAAAATATTGCTCCTTTTAGTTGGAAATGATCTTTGCAAATACTGCAGCCTTTCTTCTGCTTCTGTCCTTTGGGACTCAGACACGTTAGCCCTCCACACCGCCCCGCACCCTGCCGTGTTAGCTCCGAGGCGTCAGGAGGCTCCGTGGTCTACACGGCACCGTCAGGCACTGAATTTCACATCAGCCAACTCTGCGCGGCTCCCTGGCCCCCTCTGCTCACCCTCACAAAGCCAGTCAGTGTGGCAGTGGTGCTGCATTTGCCCTGGAGACAGGGAGTCCGCCTTCACACTCGGGGAGGCAGGGGACTGATTTCAGATCCTTGTACTTGCAGGAACAAGGTCCCCCTTTCCTGCTGCCCCACGTCGTTCTTTGCTTTTTATGTGGTTCCTTCCAGCCACAGTGGGCCAGGCCGTCTCAGCTCCCAGCATTCCCTGCCATGGCTTTTCCGCCTCCAGCTGGAAGTCCTCTGCCTGTGCAGCAGCTGGGTCTGGCTGCACTGTCCCGGAGGCTCTGCCTGTCTCCAGGTTGATAACCTCTGCACACCTACCGAGCCCTTTCGGTGAGGCAGGGGTACGGGTGCAAGGAGCAGGCGTGGGCGCCTGCAGGGCTGGGGCTGCCTCATGTCTCTCTCGGCTTCCGGTTCCGCTCACTATGTCTGCAGTAACTCACTTCAGCTTGTCTCGTCCGCTGTTTCCACTCCAGAAGTCGCCATGTTCATCTTTTCAGTTTAGTTCTTCCAATCTTGGCTGTAACTGATACTTTAAATCTTTGAATTCTAGTATTCACTGCAAAAGAACTTAATTCGGATGATTTTCTCCCCACGATTTGCACTGCGGCTGCTCACTGCCATGGGCTGGTGCCAGCCTGGGACCAGGTTAGCCTAATTACGGGGTGCTAGCGTCAGCCTCATGCCAGTGCCGCTGTTCTGTGCTTTTCCACCTACGTGGGAACCACCAGCAGTGCTCCAAAAGCTTGTGTTTTAACGTTATTCTTCACCCAAATCAGTCATAGCACGGTCGGTCAAATCTGGAAGTCTAGAACTCGTGTTTTACTGTTCTTCCCTACTGAACACTGTCTTGTCTTTATAGTCCCAGCTTTTAGCACACAGTAGGTTCTTAGTGCGTGGACCTTTGTGGAATGAATGTGAGTTTCAAGTTTTGCAAAGCTACATGCGGCAGCACGAAACCAACAGAGAAATGCATTTAAACTGAAAGTATATTCAATTACAATAGCAGCATTTAAAAGTGTTGCAATAGTCTGCTATAATTTTCTGAAAAAATGTGAAAATCCTAACATTTTGAGTCACAAAAAAGTACCTGCACAAGGGCTCATAATAAAAGGCGCTGACCTGTTGTAGCCTTTGAAGAAGATGGTGGAGCGGATTCGCAAGTTCCAGATCCTCAACGACGAGATCATCACCATCCTGGACAAGTACCTGAAGTCCGGCGACGGGGAGAGCACCCCCGTGGAGCACGTGCGCTGCTTCCAGCCGCCCATCCACCAGTCTCTGGCCAGCAGCTGAGGGGCGGGGCGGGGCGCCCCCGCGAGCCGCTGTCGGCGCCGTTCTTGCTGAGAAGTGCTTAGTGAGTTTTAGGGACTATTTTTCAGTACCTCTGTACTTGTTTAAGGGGGTACTTTTTCATCTAAAAGCTTATTTTATAAAACTGACTTATTTTTCTAGACTAAAATTGTATACGCTTTTGGTAATGGGAGTCTGAGAGTACCGGCCGCTCGTCGTGGCCGTCCCGTTCTTACAGGGTTAGTCTCAGGTTTCCTGTCCCAGCAGCTGAGCTCATTCGTCTTCCCTAGTAAGCTTAACACCTGTTAACTGTACTGAAATCCTACGCCAACTACCATTAAACTTCACGACTTTAGCTGTACTGCAAGGGTTTTCTGGTCTTTTATGAGCCATGTTTTCTAAGTCATTATCCCTCTTTTGTGCCAGTGTTTTAGAAGACAGTCAACTCGATTCTTTGGTTTCCACTAAATCCAAGTACGATGAAAGCCAATTTGTGAGGAGTACAGGTTAGAAAAATAAAACTAATAAAACCTACTTGTGTGTGTGTGTGTTTACTGCCACCTGTCCTGGCCGGCGGGGGCAGGCACTCTGCTAGCTCATGGGCTCAGGCCAGAACTGAAGCCCCTCCACAACGCCGAGGTGGGACGGGAGCCCGAACCCCCGACCTACATGCAGATCCGTGGGACGTGCTCTGCTGCACTCGCAGTGAGTGACGTGGCCTTTACGATTTATGCAGTTACCTCAAAGTGACTGGTGATATGAACTAATCACCTTAGGGCCAGCGTTCAGCTATAGACTCGGGAGTGGTTTCTGGGTCGCCCTATGCAATACAGAACAAAAGTTACTGTGAGATAACAAAGAATCTGTCGGTTATTAGGCATGCTCTGTAAGGGCACCGTCACCCCCAAGGGGTGAGCTCTGGTTTTATGTACAGAGCAGAACACAGACCCCGCACAGAGGCAGGCAGGCGATGTGCCTGTGGGGTGACACCGCGCGGACGGCCAGGTGCGGCTCCGGGCCAGTGTGCTCGCCTAGCACGCCAAGGGCCTGCTTTCAGCGCCAAACACGTTTTTAAGACTTACCTGGGAAAGGGCTGGCAGGAAAGTTTTTAACAACGCCATAGAGCACCAACAAAACCTGGAGAAAAGATGTCAGGAAACCCGGCCAGCTGCCAGCCCCGCCCCATGGGACACCATCTCGGACCTGGCACGGTGCAGTAGCACTGAGGCCCACAGGAGGCCCCTGCTCGGCTGAGGGCGGGGTCGCCCGGCCAGGACGCTGCCCATACATGCGTGCTTCCAGAGGCCAAGCAGAGCTCTAAGCGGGCAGGTTCTCAAGCTGGAATTAGGTTCATTATACTCTTTCTAACATTTGAAGTTTTCCGTAAACATACTCCCATAAACATTTCCTAAAAGACCAAAATATATGATATCCAAATGAACTCAAGCAAAGGAAAGTACCTGCTACAGAAATCACACTTTATATACTTTAGCACTTGGACTTTCTAACAAGAACTTTGTTTGAACTCTATTGTAACGTGTTAAATTTAAGAAATCACACCAGTCTCCTGATTTCACTTCCCAGTTGTTAAAAGGTCTAAATGACAATGTAACTCATGTGAAAATATACCGACAAGTACAAGCATTAGTGAGAAATGGCAGTGACGGTTCTAGGCACCACGGGGTTCCAACCACAGACTGGGAGCACAGCGCAGCGGGGCTGCCCTGCCGAGCAGGCCGTGTGGTTGGATGAGCTGCCGCGGGGGCCTCAGACACACAGAAACGCAGGACACGGACTCGCGGGGACAAGGCACAGCTTGAAAAAATGCTCCTCCACAAGATCCCTCAGCTTTCGTTTCGTAAAGGTCTCTTTCATTTAAAAATGAACGATTCCCTTAAATGAGTACTTCAAAATTAATATAAACAGGAGGCAACGTTACAGGTAAGGTAAATCACAAGATAGTGTATTGGGATAATTTTGTTCTTTCTGTACAATCAAATGGTCTTCCACGGCCAGAGTGATGGAGTGGGGATGACAAATGTACATTTCAGACCTTCATCACCAATGAAAAAATAAAGCATTTTTATAGACTTAAAACTGTCATTAGTGCATTTAGATTTTGGAGAAAGAATCAAAATGTAAAATACCTCTACGACACTAAAACGTTAATAGAAATTCACCACATTCTAAGGTCATTTTAGTAACTACCATTGTTTAAATATAGGAAAAGTAATGTCTTGGTCCAAATTAGTAAAACCTTAAAAAAGATTGTCTTTAGAGAACATTGAGGACAGTGCTTTTTCAGACATTCTGATACTCAAATCAGTGTTTAACAGAACTACAGATTAACCTTTCAACCACACCTTTCTTAAAAAGCTGCCAGGCTTCCATTTCTGCGGGAAACATTTTCACTAGAGTGTTGTTCAGCTCCACAAGGTAAACTTTCTTCATTATTATTAAGAACTTCGTACATATTAGAGAGATTGCCATTCACTGCTTTTTCATCTTTTCGAAAAGATATGGGCAGACTTGCTAGACTAAAGCTGACATCTTTAAAGGCGTGCAACAAGAATATCCCCACAATGATTGTGAAGAAGCCACTCAGAGTTCCAATGACATCATCCGCAGGCATATCCTGCCACTCCTTAAAGAGAACAGCTGAGCAGGTTAAAACGGAGGTTGTGAAGAACACGTAGTAGACGGGGGTCACGATGGACGTGTTGAATATGTCCAGCGCCCGGTTCAGGTAGTTGATCTGAGTACTCACGCAGACCAGCAGGCTCAGCAGCAGGACCCAGGCCAGCGGGTGCTGCAGCACAGGCCTGCCGGCCAACAGCTCCTTGATGGCGATGCCCAGGCCCTTCACGCAGGAGACGGAGAATGCACCAATCACGGAGCAGATGGTGATGTACACCAGGATGTTGGTCTGCCCGTGGCGAGGTCCCACCACGAAGATGAGGATCAAGGACACGATGACAATGAGTGTCGCGAAGACCACAAAGCCTGGAGGAGAGGAGGTAACTGCATCACACCCTGGGTCAGACATTCTCTTAAACACGGATCCGAACAAAACAACGCACAGTGAACTTGATGAGAGGTAGAAGCAGCCCCACGATAAAAATTACTTCGCTTTTCCTGCCATAGCAATCATGGTGCAAGTCTCTTAATCCCAACACTTGGAAGGCTGAGGCAGGAGAACTGCTGTAAATTTAAAGTCAGCCTGGGCTACATAGTTAAAGACCAGCCTGAACTACCTACATAGCAAAACTCTATCTGGAAAGAAAAGGAAGGACCTACATAACAGTAAAAAGGGCTGGGGACACAGCTCAGTGGTAAAGCACTTGCCTAGCACAAGGCCCTGTTTCTAATCCCCACTGCTGTAAAATAAATAAATCATTAAATAAAATACACGTGAGACCAAAAAGAGAAACTCAAACAGTGTAGAGTAGAAGGCTCCCAAAAGGCGGAAGAGGTAAAAGGATGAAAATGAGAGGAAAACAAAACAAAATAAATGGGCTGGAGATGCAGCTTGGTGGTAGAGCACGTGCCCAGCATGCACGAAGCCCTGGGTTCAAGCCCCAGCACCACACCCAAGAAAGAGAAGTCTAGTTCAGGACTCTCAGCCAATATGGAGTAGGGCTGGGCATAGGGGTACGGCCCTGTAATCCCAGCAGGGAGGCGGACAGGAGAACCGCACGTGTGAGCCCCGCCTGCCAACTTGGTGACTTAGTGAGACCCTCACCCCTCACAAGGGCGGCCGTGCTCGGGCTGCAGCTCCATGCAGAGGCCCTAGGCTCAACCCCCAGAACCACCAAAAAACAATCACTAAGAGAAAACAGGGAAGAATATCAAAAAAGGCAATTCAATTCAGTTCTTCGGAGTAAGACATCAATTTTCAAATTAAGAAGACTAAGTACCTGGTACCACAGAAAAAAAGGACCCACGTGGAGAAAGGTCAGTGGGACATTCTACGTGCCAGCAGCCAAAAACAAAAAACCCAAATGCTTCCGAAATTAAAACGTGGGTCACATGTACCAACTGCATCTGATGTCCTAACAGCAACACAGACTGCAGGGGCGACGGAGGTCCCAGCAGGGAACGTCATCCCACGGCTGAGGTGGGATAAAAATTACGTAACGATAGCACAGTGTAAACCAACAAACCTAGGTAGATGCAATAGTTAAGATACAGTAGAGGCCGAGGATACAGCTCAGCGGCACAGCACCTGCCTGGCAGGCGCAAGGTCCTGAGTTTGATTCCCGGTACCAAAAGTAAGATACAGTAGATAATGACTAAAAACCAAGGAAGCAGCAGCAACACACATTTCTGAGAAAAACAGCTTGCAGGACAGAAAAAAGCAGGTGGGTGGAGAGAGGATCACGGCAACTCCCCATTTTCCATAGTAGGCTGTGCAGAACCATCTGTCCCTATGTTCACGTAAAGTTTTGATTAGTGTAAAAACTAGCCGTGCACGGTGGCACACACCTATAATCTCAGCACTCAGGAGGCTGAGGTACAAGAACTGCCGTGAGTTTTTAAGGTAAGCCTGGACTATGTAGTGAATTTAAGGCCAGCAGGAACTACAACAGTGAGACCCTGTTTCATAAAAACAAACAAAAAAAGTAAGTGAAAACTAAGTCAGAAAGTAAAAGTACAGCCGGGCGCGGTGGTGCACACCTGTAATCCTAGCACTTAGGAGGCAGAAGCAGGAGAATCACCTAAAATCCGAGATTGGCCTGGACTACACCGCAAGATCCCATCTCAAAAAACCAAAAGTACAACTAATCACGCTTTTCTTTTTCTTACCTGGATCACCTAACTTGTGTGACATTTCATTCAAGGTCTCTATCTCTTCCTCTTTTGGAGCATGGATGACCATCACTGTAGATCCCAGAATACTCAGCAAACACCCAATTTTCCCATGAAGGTTGAGTCTTTCATTTAGAAAGTATGAAGAAAGAATGGCACTAAAATGGAAAAGGAAGGGGAATGAGGACTTTACAATGATCAGCTAATCTGTAAGTATCAGTAGACTCAATTTTACATTACTGAGCTCACACTGAACACTGCGACTGTGAAGGTTCTAGCTTTCAGGCAGATTCAAATGTACATCGCCTGCGTCATCATGTACCAAGCGTACACATCCACCATCTTTCCTTTCCAACAAATGTGTAAGAACGATACTTTGTAAAACTAATGTCCGTTATCAGAAATTTATATCCAAAGGAATGCCTAAAAGTTGTTCCACTTTTCCCTACTGGCTGATGCAGCCCACTGTTACGTCCATTTAATGGAAATGCGTATAATTACTCCTCTTAATTACCCCACGTCACTTACAGATACAGAGTTAGAACAAAAGAACCGCGCTCGCCTCGGCAGCACACACTAAAGTGGGACGACGCGGGAGGTTAGCATGGCCCGTGCAAGGACGCCACGCAAACCCATGAAGCAACCCGTACTAAAAGCAAGCCTAGGAGCCGGGAGGACATTTAATTATCAACTGCCGAAACTATCAGCGCTTGCTTAACCCTTGGCTTAACCCAGTTTGCTCCGAGGGCTGGTTGTAACCCACGCTGTCAGGTGCAGGCTCCGGCTCCTCTACATAGCCTTCGCAGTCTCTTTCCTGTACACAGAAAGAGCCAGGTTTTCTGAATCTGGCCCAGGACTTCTCCCTTCAGCCCACACAGGAAAGGATCTTACAGTGCTCCCTCCAGAACTCCGTAAGGGCTAAACCCTGTCTGAGACCTCTGGAAGTACCAGCAGCCGGCATGCGGGCCGCAACTCAAGACTGGTTCTAAGTTAAACTAAAGTTCTGGTCCTGACCCAAGCTGGTCCCACGTCAGGCCGGTCGTAACTCCAGGGTCCACCGTAACACCTGCTTTAGCATCAGCTAGATTTATCCAAGCCCAAGAAAAAACTATAGAATGAACCCGTATTTAAAATAATGATATAGCCAGGGACTAAGATCAGCTGCGCAGCTCCTGCCTGCCAAGCTCCTGCCTGAATTTGATTCCCAGTACCCCCCAAAAAAGATGTAAGGAAAGGATGAAGACCACAACCTTATCATGTATGTAATTCCTTGAGAAAAGGACAAAACCATGTATACAGTCAATGAACTTTCAGGACAGTAGCCCAAATCCAGACTTCAAAATGGGCTTATTGTTTAATTACTGAAATTGCACCAACAGGCCAGGCCTGGACTGGTGGTACGAAGCAGCGTGCCAGGCCAGCTGCGGGCAGCACTGAGCTCTGTCGTCAGTGACACCCTGCAGCAGGTACAGCGCTCTAACCCTCACCAGCCAGGCCCTACCAGAGTGCACACGGACTGCTGATGCTAACGAGACAGGGGCAGCCTGCAGCTCTCAGACATCAGAGTCGTCCGCAAGCAGAGCAAAACTTTCCCCCTGACCAACAGCCTGTGTACGCAGAGGGTGACTGGAAGCAAACTACTCACTGTAAAAAAGGGCCCGAAGGCTGCTGAAATGTGAATCACGCTCACACGTGTAATTACTCATCGGAATGTTTCCGCACCACCACACTCACTCCTGTCTCCGCACGGGACAGGCCCTCACCTTACAAGGACGCTGAGGGCTCCCAGCGGGGTCACCAGCGTGGCGGGGGCGAAGGCGTACGCAGCGAAGTTGGCCACCTCACCGGCTCCCACTGCGAGTGACGACAACAGAGTCTCAGGAAGCGTCTGATTTTGGAAATGTGCATATATGCAACCTACACACCAACTTCCACATTTTCTCCTATTTAATAAGGGTTAGGGTTCTATAAATTATCAGCACTGAGTATCCAAAAGTCAGTCAGAATTGACACAAATACATAATCTTAATTTTAAAAATCGAATTTATGCTTACTTGATGGTAATTTCATTAAAAAATTTAAGTAGATATTTATATCGCACACAACATACCCAAATCGATTCGAAGAAGCCAAAACTGACACAGTGGTACGTTCAGTCTTTTTCACTGGCTCTTCCTTTTATTTTTGAAATGAGTTAATGTGTGACATACACTGATTACGCCTGTCCTGGGGAACTGGGGAACTGATGCCTTGCGATGACCCTCCCCTTGCCCTGGCTCTTCTTTTTTTGGTTTTTTTTCTCTGGTACCGGGAACCGAACTCACGACCTTGCACTTGCCAGGCAGGCGCTTTGCCGCTGAGCTAAATCCCCAGCCCCTCTGGCTCTTCTTTTTTAAACCCAACTCACACTAGTGTGAGAAGGATCAGAAACTATAGCAGGGAGGAAAACGACGACACTACTCTCAAATTTACGGTGTAGTGAGGAGACCAAATACCTTGTGGAACAGTTTAAAGCGCTGTAAGAAAACTGAACCCTGGAGGAAGCGCAGCACGCGGAGGGAGCGCCTCTGCGAGGCGTCAGGGGAAACCTGCAGCGCGAGGGGCTGAGGGCGCTTACCCCGCACACCGCTGAGCGCACCGGACACGCAGCGAGAGGAGTGGGCACCAAACCCCGCCGCCACCGGGGCGGCTCCAACCGGACAGCAGGGGCAACAGCAGGGAGGCAGGCGGAGCCGGGCCGCAGCACACGGATCCCGAGATGCAGGTAGGGATTTCTACCCAAATGGCAAGACTGTCTCAAAAAGAGAGGCGCCGCCCCCTGTCTGTCTACCGGTGATTCATTTTCCCTCATTAAGGTAATTCTTTATGTTTTGGGGATGAACCTTTTCTTCAATTCTTTCAGACTTTTAACACATTCTTGTGATCAAAATAAGGTTTTGGGGATTTCTGTATTTTTCCTTTTCTTTTATAACGCTGAGGACATAAATTCTTCTTGAGGTAAGTTCTCACTCTGTTCCCCTGACGAGCCTCAGAGTCACAATGCAGCAGCGCAGGCTGGCCTCGAATTCACAATCTTTCTGCCTCAGCCTCCCAAACACACATCACTATGCCCAGCCTGAGATCACAAACCCCTTGCCCTCTCTGTTGGGGTGTTTGGCTTTTCTGAGACGGGGTCCCACCATGTAGTTGGGGCTGGCCTTCAACTCCCTTTGCAGCCCAGGCGGGCGCTCGCTCTGCCTCAGCCTCCCGAAGCTGAGTTATGGGTGTGCACCACCATGCTCCAAGGTCATAAATTCTTCATTTCAATGTCAAATCTTCAAATACTTCCCTCTGTAGTTACTGTTTTCTCCAACTACTTTAAAAATATTTTTCTAAATATTTTATTGACTATGTTCTCTAGGCCCCGCCCTTCACGTTAGGCCGATGGCCCGCCTGAAGGTGACTTTATGTGCAGAGTGCAACAGAGACGGATGTTCTTTTCCACACGGGCTATTACAACAACACTGAAGCGTGTACTTCTTACTCTTAACGCCCCGCGTCATACACGGCCTGTGCCGCTCTCCATCCTACTTCCCACTCCCGTCTGGGCACAGGAGCACCCTGACTTCGTGAGTGTGACTCCGCAGTACGTCTCAGCCCACAGCGCAGGGCCTTTCACTCCGCTTTTTGAATTACCTCTGCTCATTTTGGACTTTTGAACTTTACATAAAAATCAGCACTACCATATACCATAAAACCACCTACTTTTGAATGGAATAACATTCAACCTGTAAGACAGTATAAAAAATATAACTTTATAATAAATTATATGATCATCCCATTACAATATAACTGCTCATGACTGAGAAGCCATTGTATCAAGTGACTGTTCTTAATAGTACAAAGGGTTTTCAACAAATCCAAAAACCACCACAGTAAGCACTGGAAGGGAGACAGCTCGAAGGCTTTCCTTGAAACGGGGAATACGCGGAGGCGCTCCCTTTCTTTATGCAGTATTCTGCTCAGTTTCTAGCCCACTAGGTGGGAGGACACAGGATTAGAAAGGGATAGATAAACTGCTAATTGGAGATTACATACTGTGGGTACAAAAATTCCCAAGAATACACAAGTAAGTTACAAAGATTTGGCAGTGTTCTTGAATACAAAGTCAATGTACTAAGCCTAGCTGTAAACAAGCAATAATAAGAAAACAAAATCTTTAAATAGTACCACCTGCACATAATTTTAAAACCAAAACTGGTTAATTATAAAACTAAGACAACATAAAGAAGATACTCATTTTAAAAAACTAAAGCGCCAGGTGCAGAGACACACTCCTGTAATCCCAACACTAAAGAAGCGGAGGCAGGAGGATCACTCTGAGTTCAAGACCAATGTACATAGTGAGACTCTGTCTCAAAAAAGGGTTAAATTTGTTAACATGATGAATTACAACACTAGCTCCCTAAAACTGTGCTAACTTTGCATCCCTAGCATAAATCTCACTTGCTCATGATGTACTTTATTTAGGGTATTTTCTCACATACATTCATGAAAAAGACTAGGCTGTGAAGCCAGGTGTGGTGGCACGCACCTGTAACCCTAGGGAAGCGAGGCTCCCGTCTGAGGTCCCTATCTCAGCCTCCTGAGTAGCTGGATTACAACACAAGTCTGCACCACCGCACGCAGCTCATGGCACCTTCTGATCCACACTGCACCCCCTCTGCGTCAGCACCGCCCGACACCACCAGCTCTGCTCCCTCTGACCCTCCTCGCGTGGCTCCCAGGAACCAGGCGCACCTGGTCTCCTTGCGGACGCTGGCTGCTCTGTGGTCTCTGAGCCTGGGCTGCTTACTCTACCCTCGCTTGCTTCTGATACGATCTCACCCAGCCTTCGGCTTTGACGGTGATTCATAAACTCTGATCTCCAGCCTGGCCACACGGCGGAATTCCAGGCCTGACTGCCAGTTTCACGTATCTGCCTGGACAGTCCACGGCAACCTCAAACTCCACCAGACGCGCAGCGCCTCCTGAGACCTCCTACCCACCCAAGCCCTGCCTGCAGTTCTCCCATCGCGGTAACAGCGCTCACTTCTTCCAGTTCCGATCTTCGGGTTCTCTGGCCTTCCCTTTCGCACCCCGCCTTTCACCCGTGAGACAGCGCATCATCTGTACCCTGCGAGCACACGCGCACTCCTCCCACGCAGCGCACCACACGGCCCACGCCCTCACCCCTTACCCAGTCACTCCAGCAGCTCCGTACTGCTGCTGCCTCCAGCCTCTGCCTCCACACAGCAGACATCCAGCCTATGCAGCCTTCATTTTAGATTTCCTTCCCATCCTTACTACTTCAGCTGGCATCTATCACCACAAACACATGCACAAAGTAACTCGTTTACTGTCTGCCTCCTACCTATAATGTAAGCTTCGAATGGGTGGGGGTCTTTTAGGTTTTTTTCCTGCAGGCCCTAGAACAATGCCCAGTATACACGGTGATCAGTGTAGGCTGGGATGTGGCTTAGTGGCAGAGCTCTTGCCTTGCATGCAAAAGGCCCTGGGTTCGATTCCCCAGCACCACCACACACACACAAAAAGGAGATCAATAAACACTTGCTGAACAGTCAAGACTCAGTATTTAAGAACCATTTTTTCACACGCCTTTTTAAAGTAGTTATCAAAATAGCACAGTCATCAAATATACAGAGGGAAAAACTAAAAAAAACAAAAATCACATTTTTCTTTGAGCTTGCCCTTTAAAAATTACCTTTCTCTTCTTTTTCTTTTGTGTAGTACTGGGAAATGTCCCTTGCACATGCTAGGCAAACACTACTACTGAACTACAACCCAAGGCCCAACATTAACCTCTTAAATTAAGTAGAATTTTTAAAAAATGCACAAGTATATCAAACATGGTTTCATCAAACAAAGTCTTGTCACCCAAATTAAATAAGCTTTTAAACTGCTGAGTTACTTTTACAGGTTTAAAGATATTTTGAGTTTATCCATTAAAACAAGCGTTTTAAAATCTACTAGTATTACAAGGCTATAATATTATCTACAAGTATTTTAACATACAGCTCTATATTCTCTTGAAAATGTTCTCCATACATACTTGACAGCAGTCCAGCCCACCACAACCATTCTTTAAGATATGCGTGGCCACCTTGACCTGCGAATGAAGAAACATTTCACTTCTTTGGAAGATTATCAGACTCATGTGAATTATGACCACTATCAGCAATGACAGATCTTAAAATATTTCATCTGTTGATTTATAAAGATTTCTACATGACTACATAGTGGGATTTCCTCGATACTACTTTTATGATTACCTCTGAAAGGGAAGTGAGGGCCATGAGTGTTAACAATGTATTACATTCCTAAGTAAAAGAACTAAATCAATCCTTATATTCTGCTCATATTTTCTTCTTTTATTTTATGAACTCGAGTTCAATAAAGTAAATGAACCAATAAAAAGCAGCCCAAGCTCTCTGGAAGACTGAGACAGGAAGATCAAAAGTTCAAGCCCAACCTGGGCTATGCAGTGACCTAGCAAGACTGTCTCAAAATAAAAAATAAAAAGGGCTGGAGATGTAGCTCAGTGTGAAGGTCCTGGGTTCAAGAACCTGTCTGGCAAAAAAATAAAAAACAATTTTAAAAAAAGTAGTAGCACGACTTCAGGTCAATCGGTCCGCCAAGGGCTAAGCCACCTGCGTGCGCACAGCCCCTTACGGAGAGACTGTGGCCCTACACAGACAGAAGCACTCGCTGCAGTGCTGATGGTGATCTGGAGCTGCCCGCTCGCTCAGCCTGCTTTTCCTTCGGCCGGCCCTAATGTTCCCGCTGAGTAGTGAGAAAGCAAGCTACACCAGAGGCACCGTCCAGAAGACAAAGCCAAGTGAACGCGCCCTCACAAGCTCACGCTGCAAGGACAAGCAGGAGGGACTCGGGCCAAGAATGAGGGACTGGCGAACGGATGTTCACGCCAACAGGGTCTGCTGTCTTGTGTTTGAACACTGCCGAGCAGGTTTGGCCACAGGGGTGGCACAGGAGAGAGAAGTAGTCACGTGTACTGCAAAAGGAGGACTACTTATAAGGTCCCATCAGGCCCAGGATGAAGCACAGGCAGAACAACGAACGTGGCCATTACCCTATAATACTGAGAGCTATCACAGATGCTCCCAAAATAACAGAGGTCCATCACCTTGAGTACCCACAAGGGACTTATGACTCAGGGTGATACTATGCGTAAGGTCAAAATACCAAGGGTATTTTTCAGGTCAGGACGGCCTTCTCTTTCCTTCCTGCCAATTGAGATCATGAAGAAAAACATCTAATGTAAACGCCAGAAGCTCTATTATTATGGACAAAATAGTCAGGCCTTCAGTAAATTTCTGGTTCTACTCAGGGACCCTTGTGCACAGAAGAAAACTTAAAGAAACATCTGGATGCTAATTTGGCATTGGTACCTGCTCCCACTTTGTAATAACCTCAGAAGTTATTACAAAATTATGTGTCTATAAACACAACTCTTGAACCATTTAAAGGTTCCAATATACTCACAAGAAGTAAAGATGTGGCCCTCCTCAGTCATGGACCCAAGTGCAGAAATACACACTGATGTCCTTCCAAATGACGGGGCGAACCTACCTGCTCTCATGGAGCCGTTCCGGGCAAGTCGCAGCAGGCCTTTCTTCTTCAAAATGAAACTCCCTCCGATGAAGATGCTGGAGGTCATAGCCAAGCCCAAGCCAATATAAAAGTCGTATTTGCCACGCCCCGGGCTCATTTCGTTTGTTACATAGGAAGTTCTGCGAATCACACTGACGATCCCAGAACATAGACACTGCTGGTGACTGTGGAGAGGTTACGTCGTCTTCAAGCCTAAACACAAAATGAAATGTTTTTATGTAAGGATCATCACAGCTTAGATGCAATTCAAAATTTTACTTTATTTCTCTTTTCAAAAGGAAAAACATTACTACTGCTACCGACAATTTTTTTTTGTTTTGTTTTTTTTGAGACAAGGTCTTGCTATGCAGTTCAGGCCAATCTTGAACTATGTAGCCCAGGTTAACCTAGAACCCATGGTGATCCTCCTGCTTCAGCCTCCCAAGTGCTGGGATGATAGGTGTGCGCCACCACAACCAGCTTTATTTTTAGACTTAGAACCAATCTAATTATGTAGCAAAAGACTGGTTTGTGATGGCCAGGCATGGTGGAACATGCCTGCAATCCCAGCTCTAGGAAGGCTGAGGCAGGAGGATCCCTGTGAGCTGGAGGCCAGCCTGGGCTACAAAGTGAGTGCAAGGCCAGCCTGAAGTGCACAGTGAGTCTGTTTCAAAAAGACAAAAAAAAAATTTTATTTGTTTTTTTTGTCTTTTTGAGACAGGGACTCGCTGTGCAGTTCAGGCTGGCCTTGAGCTCACTCTGTAGCCCAGGCTGGCCTTGAGCTCACTCTGTAGCCCAGGCTGGCCTTGAACTCACAACAATCCTCCTGCCTCAGCCTCCCAAGTGCTGGGTTAACAGGCGTGCGCCACCAAGCCGGCAGGAGGTTAAAATAGTTTCTGAAGGCTGGGTTGCCAGCCTGTTGGCGCGCTGGCACTTGGTTCTCATCCCACCGCCTCCCTGCCGCTGGTTCCTGCACCTGGGACAGGTGACATTGGTGACCTCAGGCAGGAGAATTCAGGGAGTGGGAAGACGCAAGCCCCAAAGCCGGGGGAGGGAGAGCTGCCGGAGGCAGTGCGTGGGCCCAGGGGTGGTCAGGACGGGGGATCCTGCCAGCCGAGGCCCTCGGTCTCCTGACGGACGGCTGACTGAAGAGGGCCTTGCACCCAACGCTGGGCGCTGCGAGCTGGGCAGTGGGGACACAGCAGTCTTGGCCTGGGGGTGGGTATGACCCAGACCGAGACGAACCACCCAGACGGAGGGCAATGCATTGTAGATACAAACGTGAAGGGGGCACAGCACACACGGTGCCCGGACGCGCCCGGACTGGGAGCTACCACGGGACAGCGGAGAGCGAGAATGACGTCAGTAACGAAGAAGGACGCACGTGAGCCCCTGCTGACTTCGCGGGAGACAGCGCAGGGACGGCTGCTACGCAGCAGACTCCGGGCAGGAACACAGACCTGTGTCTCCAAAATGTGCGTACTGGACATGCAAAGAGAAAGGAAAGGCAGCTGCCTGACACTGCAGCCTGGGACTCAACGCGGTGCAACTAGGTGTTCCAGCTTTTCTTCCCGGTGAACGTGGGGATCTCACAACTGTGCTGCCGCCTGCTGTCTCTCACCCAATGTACGACAACCGCGCCCCAAATACTGCAGAAGTAAGGGTCTGCCTGTAAACAGTGTCGGGGAGGAAATGAAATGTTTTCACTCTGGGACGAAGTTCAGAAAGAGGGCCCAGAAGTTCCTTCTGTGCCGAATGGGAAGCGATGAAGACTTCTGCACACTGCAGGGCCGTAAACCCGTAAGACCTTCTCACAGGAAGTTAGTCAGTCACGACTTTTTAGGTGTCTGCAGATGAAAAAGATACTTCTGGCAATAAATCAAAGACACAAAAACAATTCTAGTTTTCCAGAAACTTTAGCAAGATTGTGCTAATTTTCCAGAAAGACCAAGACCTGCCCCCGGCCCAGGTCCAGTGGAAAAGACTCATCAGAAATGCCTCAGGCGTGCTTCCTCGCGGGACGGCAGGCCTTCAGGGATGAGGTCAAGTACAGCCTCCGCCCTCACCCGGGCGTCTCCGCGGACTGCCAGGTCAGGCTGCAGCCGCCTCAGCATCTTCAGGCTGCCATCACCCCACCCCAGCCCACGCTCCCTCACTACAAATCCGCCGCTCCTCCAGAGATGCTTTCCTCCCCTCCCGGAGCCCCTCAGCACTCCTGCAATACCCGTCAGGAGTGATGTGGCCTTGAGCGCCTGCACTTACAACACTGAGGACCTAGCGGAGCGGAAACCTCCTCCATGGCACCAGCTGACTCAGGCGGTACTTCTGAGGCCACCGCACTGCCCAACGACGGCCAGCGGTGACAGCACAGGCCAGGCAGGCGACTCCAGGCTTGTATGTCAGCAGGCACCAGTTGCAACACTACGGTTTTTGTCTCACAGTCAGAGACATCTGAGCGACCTAGCTAGCTGTGCAGGTTAACAGCCTGCTAAATGAGCCTGACATCGAGCGGTGCTACTCCAAGCAACTGTAATTTTCAAACTAGTATTCAAATACTGGTAATATGCAGAAGAAGCAACTGAGTGAATCCTCTGCATATGATTTTTTAAAATCTAACTTGTAGGACTTAAATCTTTTAAAAGGTTCATGATCATTTTGGTAGTACCTATACGGATACAGCATTCCATATGTGTCTAATCAAAAATATAAAGCTGTTTTTGTTTCTGAAACTTCTTTTTCATAGAAGAATACACTGCAGATGTATATAGAATATAAGCTTTGGATATATACAGAAAGCAAATTTTGCAAGCTGTTATGAAAAGAAAATTTAAGGCCCGGGGATGTAGCTCAGCGGCACAAGCACCTGCTGGCAACTTCAAGGTCCTGAGTTAGATACTGGGTACCAAAAAACAAAAGAAAGAAAAGAAAATTTAAGCTCAACATGGTGATACACACATTTAACCCTAGCTCTGTGGAGGCTGAGGGAGAAGAGGATCGCGAGTTCAAGGCTAGCCTGGGCTCACTGGTGAGAAAACAAAAACAAAACAGAAAAAGAAAGAAAAAGTTTTTCTTTGTTTCTTCTTTTGGAAGATCTGACCTGACAGTGTGTGTGGGAACTCTACCTTCAGAGTTCTACTGCATTTCCCGGGGAAAGACTCAAGGAGACACCGAACCAGGGAGAGTTTTCTCTACATTTTATATTTTACTTATAACATATTAATGTATTGCTAAATGAATTAACTGCTATTTGCTTTCAAGCAAATTTAAGGGAAAATGTGTAATGGCTATGCCACTGGAAAAAATAAATGACTTTTTTTGGAGGCTTCTGCACTCCTAAGGGGTTTTCTGAGCCTTCTTGGAATTTCTAAGATTTATACGTAAACCAAACCTTTAAAATGTTAAGCTGTGCGAAGGCAGATGAAGTGAGCTTTCAAGGTATGGGAGGGCTCCTCCATCTTACACCACTTAAATCTGTACCCTTAAAATCGCTTACGATTTTAGCTTTGCGCCCACATTTCCAAGAGGAAGACGTTTCTTTGCACCTCTCTTCTTTCTTAGGTATTCTCACTTAGGTGGTCTCAAGCAACTGCCTGACTGACATCTAGAACTCTAACTGAAGCTCAAATTCCATGTATCCAAACCTAAGTTCTTGGTCTTTCCTCCCAAACTTGCTCCTCCTTCAGTCCTCTCCAGCTCAGTACATGGCAATGCCATGCTTCTGACTGCTCGGGCCAAAAATCTTGGCATCATCCCTGATTCTTTCATGCCCCATATCCAGCTCATCGGGAAGAATCCATCTTAAGTGAAAGGTTTACACTTTTATACCGCTGAGCCCGCACCCAGTGGGGTCTTGCTAATTCCTGACATGCTCTCAATGCATACGTCTTCTTGTCCCAGTTCACGGTACTTGACTTTTTTTCATTGGGCTAAGGACTTCTCTTCAGGAACCATACCTCCTTTGGCCTCAACTTTACATATGGTTCTTTGCAGATCAAAGTTTTTCAGGTATTTCAGTTCTGCTTTTTGCTTCCAGTTTTCTCTTAAATATCTGGTAAAAGATAGACAGTAGTACTCACACTACTGCCTAAACATCAGGCTACCCTGAAATTTCCTCTGCCAGACCAATTAGTCTACCACCCTCAAACTCAGCCTGACATGAGCAAAATATAGAGAAAAATTTTTTTTTCTGGCAAAAAAGTCTAATATGTATGACCATTAGTACAATTCTCTAAGAATCCTTGTTCCTATCTGAAACCTCATGAGCATAGCCTTAACTGTCTACATCCCTATTAGCATTCTGGTCTTCTGAATTCTGACTAGAAGCAGCCATCAGGCTTTGCTTAAAGTACTACACATCCTCAAATCTTTCCAAACTCATCCACCAGTTCAAATGGCTTCTGAAGCGCAGGATCAAGTATACACATAGCAACCACCTTATTTCTGAACAACCAATACTCTATATTAGTCACTTTCCTATTGCTGGGCAAAATACCTGACACAACTTTACGAGGGAAGGTTTCTTTGGCTCAGGCTCTCAGAGGATTAAGCTCATGTAGGCTGGCTCGGAGGCAGAAGGGCACAGTCAGGCAAAGTTGCTCACTTCATGGCAACTGGGAAGCAAAGCACCAGGAAAACACCACCAACGAGAGAGGGGCCAGGGCCCAGTCTTCAAGGTCACATCTCCATGACCCATCCAGACACTCAGAAGTGAGCTCTGCTCATCTCCTAGGTGGTCCCCAAGCCAATCAAGCTGGCAAGCTTCCTGTCACACTGACAAAGGCCGCCTTGGCTAAATGTTACCGTTCCTTGTTTCTCCTGTCTTTCACACATGCACAGCACTCACCATGATCTGATTTGACTCAGCATTCATTTTATTTTTTTTTTTATTTTTTGGTTTTGGTTTCTTTTTCTGGTACTGGGAATCAAACTCATGACACTGCGCTTGCAAAGCAGGCACTGTGCCGCTGAGTTAAATCCCCAGGCCCTAAGCCTTTATTTTATTATGTGTATCTTTTACTGGAATATTAGCTCCATGAGGGCAGAAATTCTTGTATTCTATTATTCTCCAGTTAGTAGAACAGTGTCTGCCCATGTTAAGCATTCTACAAATATTTATTGAACATTCAAAGTTTTACCAACAGAACTTCGTTTTTGAAAGAATAGCTTCACTAGGTTTTTATATGTTGCTTAATTTGACACGAGATTTGTTAGAATCATATACATTCAAATTCAGCATTAATTATGGTAATCCAAATTGTTTGAAAGCAAAACAACTGTGGCAAAATGATAGCATTTGAGCAGCAATTTAATTATGACAGCATGATGATGCTAAGTAAGTAACACATTAAAGATTTAGTTTATCTTAAAACTAGAAGAACCTACCCTAGATGTTGAACACATCCTTGGCCAGAAATAACGCGTCTTGTACTTATACAGAGTCCACCCAAATCATTCATTTACACAATTATTCAGTCAAAATGGGGTACGCATGAATACCATATACATAAAAATTCCTAATGAATGATACAGGGAAATAGGAAGGCAAGAGAAAGACTGAGGTTAGGTTAGTCCAGAAAGCAAAAGATTAAAACTCCCTAAGTGCTAGGATATGTGTCAAATTATAATTTCAAAAAGAAATACTTGTCACATAAAATTGAAAAATCTCAAGTATGTTAATATAGTTTTAGAAGAACTTACTGAGATTGCACAGGAGAAAAAAATAAGCACCAGCTGAAGGCTCAGGTGGAGATCCTCAAGCAAAAACTGGTCTAAGAGGAATCTTACCCAGAAATGCCGGAGAGATCAACAGGATATAAAACCCTAGGGTATAATTTTTTTCCTGTTCAGAATATGAACCCAGAGGGCCAGGGATTTAGCTCAGCAGCACAGCACCTGCCTGGCAAGCACAAGCTCATGAGTTCGATTCCCGATACCGGTAAAAAACAAAACAAAACAAAAAAAGAACAAACAGAATATGAACCCAGGATGTCTCCACAAGGTGACTGATAGGTGGCATGTTTTTTAAAAATAATACACAATCATAATATCTTTATATGAATTATCAATAATCAATTTAAACAGACTAGCTCAGATTTTAAGTAAGCATTGGTTTGTTTTGCAGTTTTTTTCCTCTGTAAGATGAATTAAGGGTCTGCTATATCTTGTGTTGCTGTATCTTGGTTGTCCTGTGTACAACTTACAGTATTTCCAACAGATTTTTCATTTTCAGGTGCTATTTACTAAACATATTTCTCCTTTTACTTTCACCTTAGTTTTTTTTTCTTTTTGAGACAGGGTCTCGCTGTGCAGTTCAGGCTGGCCTTGAGCTCACAGTGATTCTCCTGCCTCAGCCTCCTGAGTGCTGGGTTTACAGGTGTGCACCACCACACTCTTCATCTTATGTTCTGAGGAAACGGTGTCCTTCCTTTCTAAACTCCATGGCACAATGGAGCCCTTCTTTATAGCCCAACTGGTGTTTACTGGATCCTTATATCACCATTTATTTCTTCCTATTTTTGTATAAGCATAGTAAGTGTCTTCTCCAGCCTAAAAAGACCAGCAGCAAAACAAAAACCAAGTAACGAAAAATTCCCTATCACCCTGTGCTCCTTCTCTTCACATCGTAACTTCTAGAGGGCCTGCGGCCTGTATCCTCACTTTTACCTTTTCCTCAGCATGCTGATCCCTATCTTTAGCTCCTAACGTTTCCTTACGATATCGGGGTACATGACCAGCCCCCTCAACCCCACCCCAGCAGAGCCTGTGTCTTTTATCAGACATTACTTGGTTGTTCTGTGTACAACTCTCTGCCTGCTGATCTCTCTGGCATTTCTGGGTAAGATTCCTCTTAGACCAGTTCTCCACCGAGCCTTCAGCTGGTGCTTATTTTTTTCTCCTGTGCAACCTCAGCAATGTCCACAGCTTCCGCTTTCTCTCCTGCTGCCTGAATGCCCGTACCGATTCAGACTGGCTTCTCCTACCGCATTCTTCACTTTGCTTAATGGTATCATCACTGACCACCTAGGACGTTATTAATAGGTGCCTCAAAATTACATTTTCTTCTTTATCTTCTTCACACTCATGCTCAGTCCTTTTGAATCTGCCTCCTAAAACTCTCTGATGTCTGCCCTTTCTTCACTGCTGCTGGTTTTTTTTTTTTTTCTTGGCCTTTTTGAGACAGAGTTTTACTATGTAGTTCAGGCTGGCCTCAAACTCACATTGAACCTCCTGCCTCAGCCTCCTGAATGCTAGGATTACAGGTGTGCACCACCATACCCAGAGCTGCTTTCTTAATAAAGGCCTTCTTTATTTCACCCGACAAAAATCTTCAATATACTCCAGTTAAAAATATCCCATTCCCTAAGGGAGTTGTGGTGGCCCATCCCTACTAATCCCAGCATGCTGGAAGGCTGAGGCAGGAGGATTGCAAGTTGAAGCCCAGCCTGGGCAACTTAGTAACTTGGCAAGACCCTATCTCGAAAGACAGACAGACAGACAGACACGGACAGAGGAGCAGGCAGAAAGAAAGAGCCCAGGGATACAGCTCAGTATGAAGGCCCTGGGTTCAATTCCCCAGTCTCTCCCTTCCTCTGCCTCTCCCCCACACACATAGAAGACAGACCACAAGCAGCAGAAAGGCAGATCTTTTGCAAATGGGAAAGGACCAGGAGGTGGGAGGGGCACAAAAGGAATTAAGATGCACACTCACTTGTACCAAGTACCCACAATGAAGGTATTTTATGCTGCAAACGTACTAATAAAAAGATCTGTTAAGTTTAAAAAATTGATTTTATGAATTCTGGTTCTGTATTTTACTGTTGTTGTTTTTGTTCTGCGGTGCTGGGTATCAAACCCAGGGCCTCGCACACGACAGGCAACGGTTCCATATTTTTTGTTTAAATGTTTCCAATCTTAGCTGACAGTCCACAGTAATAAAACTCTGCTAGCCAGGAGTGATGCCGCGTGCCTGCGATTCCGGAATTCAGGCAGTTCAGGCAGGAGGATCTCAAATTCGAGGCCTGACTGGGCCTGGGGGTTCCAGGTCTGCCTGAAGTACACAGAAAGACTGGGGGGTGGAGGTTTTCTCAAAATTAATTAATTAAATTAAATTAAGGAGGGCTAGGAATGTAGCTCGGGGAAAAAGGCCCTGGGTTCAAACCCTAGTATTGTCAAAAAAAAAAAAAAAAAAGAGTAAAGCTTTGCTGAGAATAATCAGGCAGAATATACAAGTCTAGCTTATCATACATTTATCAACTGCACCAAGGTACCTACGCTGAGTAATCTACATGCGTGTACTGTCTAATTAGAAATCGATGTGGACGTAAGCCATGCCCATTTCTTTGTTTAGCCTATCTGGAGACGTGCTGAGCAAAGACAGAGGTCACGTACGTGGCTGGAGGAGGATGCAATTGTAGCACAGACGTCTCCCCGGGTACAGGGACGGTGCTGCTCACTGCACAGGTCCACGGGAGCACAAGACCTGCCGGAGCAGGCTAACACAGCTGTGCATTCCTTCCGCCTTTCTTCAAGGGCCAGCTCAGGAACTCCGTGGACAAGGGAACTAAGCAGAGTGTGAGAAGCAGAGAGAAGACAGTATTTAACAGGAAGTTTTTAAAAGTTTCGAGGCAGTCTCAGCAAGCCGCTCGGCTGGCCATCCTCCCTCAGCCCCCAGAAGGCTGGGATCGCAGGCGTGTACCAGCAGGTAGGGCTGCAGCTTGGGGTTTTCCGTCTCATAATCACCACTGAACCCCAGAACTAACTGCGGTTCAGTCAGGACCCACACTAACCCTCATTCACTAGCCAAGACTTTCCAATCTTCAAGTTCCCAGACTCGGCCCTTCACCAGAGAGACGCAACTTCCTACCCGCTCAGCCCTTTGGTCACCTTTCCTTACCAGAGGCGTGCAAATGTGCCGAGGACCATGCTAAGCACACTGAATAAAACGGCAACAGCTCTTTCCGGCTGGGTATGTCGTGTAGTGGTAGAGAGCTTGCCTAGCATGTGAGGCCCTGGGTTTGACCCCAAGCAAAAATTCTTAAAAGGTGACAGCTTTTACACTTTAGCAGGGCGTCAGACAAGAGACGCGTTAAACAAGGAGTCACCGTGTACGGCAATAATAGTGGTATGCTCACACCGAGGTACTCCCACTCCACACAAGAGAAGGCCAGCGCTCTGACGACCCCGCACTTCAGGGAGACTATGCTTCCTCACCCTGCTGCCCCGGGACGCGGACCAGCTTGCTCTGGTCCCTGGGAGGCAGGTTAAGGGAGCACAGTGCCAGTTCTGAGTGTGGACCTTAAGAGGCCCCTCCTATTTCTGCTTGCTCCTTTGTACCCTGCCCACTCTGCAGGACCCGCACGCCTCGGGCGTCTGCTGACCCCAAGAGAGGAAAACACACAGAGCAGAACTGTTCCAGTTAACCCAGACCTGTGCGCGTGGCCCAGGTATGCGTACTTCCAGAAGCCTCTGAGATCCCAGTGAGCCTCAACAGTGAGTGTGACGCTTCCACCATGGGGTTGGGGCGCGACCATGCAGAAGTCCCGGGTTCACTCACCAGCACAGAGGGAAAAGAATATGCAGAAAACAGAAACCGCAGGTAAAAGTGGATGATGAGGACATGGGGAAAGAGGGAAACGGGAGAAGGGAGGAAAGGGGGACAGAAGCGGGCGGGAAGGAAGCTAAATCATCCAAAGCGCTGCCTTCGGAGTTCCCCGAACTCCAGCAGGAGCTACCGGCATGGAACACGGGCGGGGACAGAGGAGGGCAGAGACCGCATGAACACGATGGCTGGAGCAGCTCATCGCTGTACTCTGCAGGACGAGAGCACACACAGGTGTGCGCGCCTTCTCGGCTCGCCCGCGTGCCCAGCTCACTGTGCTCGCCACCCCCGCTTCAGCCTGTGCCCTGGCTATCTGGCAGCCTCAAAGTATGTTTTCATGTGTGTCTGTTATGTGAGCACCGCTGAGTGGAACGAGGCACAGCTGGCCCTAAAGAATCAAGCCCAGACTGCCGGGCGGGGGGCGGGGGGGCATGCCTGCAATCCCAGCACCATGGGAGGCTGAGGCAGAGTATCACAAGTTTGAGCAACCTAGCAAGACCTGGTCTCAAAATACAAAATAAAAACAAAGCTTTTGTAATTAAGCAGGGGAAGAGGGGTTGAACAAAGGGGAGGGGAATGGGAAAAAAAAGCAAGTTAAATCATACAGGTACAAATTCCCTATCATTAATGTGATCACTGTGTACACCCAAAATGTACCAATAAAAATCATTTTCTTTAAACAAGAAAAAATAAAAAAACCCGGGAGGTGCAGCTCAGCGTGAGGGCTCTGGGTTCAATCCCAAATAATGAAATACTAATAACAATGCTACCCATTAACAGCAAAAGCACTTCCAGATAACAATAGCAAAGCAGAAGGCATTACAATCCCAGATTTGAAGTTATATTACACAGCTACAGTAATAAAAACAGCTTGATACCAGCATAGACGAGAAATATGGATCAATGAAAAAGAACAAAGGAATATCCCAGTGTGGTGGCACATGCCTGTAATTTCAGCACTCAGGAGGCTGAGGCAGGAGGATCACTGTGAGTTTCAGACCAGCCTGGGCTACAAAGTGAGCTCAAAGCCAGCCTGAACTGCATAGTGAGACCCTGTCTCAAAAAGCCAAAAAAAAGAAAAAACAAATAGAAACAAAGGAAGCAAAGATGACCCCAAACACATTCAACTATTTGATCTTCAACAAAGGGGTCAAAAACATACACTGGAGGAAAAACAGCCTCTTTAATAAATGGTGTTTGGAAATCTGGATATCCACTGCACAAGACTAAGTATAGATCCACACAGCTCACCACGTACTAAACTAAAATCACAATGAATCAGTGACCTAAATGTTAAAACAGAAACACTTAACCTGGAAGATAAGATAAATAAAACTCAAAGACACAGGAGCAGGCAAGGACTTTCTCAGTGGAACCCCAGTAGCACAAAAAATAATACCAGGGCACAAATGGAACCACATCAAATTAAAAACATTCTGCACAGCAAAAGAAACAACCAACAGGCTGAAGAGACAACCTACAGATGGGAAAATTATTTTTGCTAGCTACTACCACACTGGACTAATATCTAGAATATAGAAAGAACTCAAAAAAATTAGTCCCCCCAAAATAAAAGATCCAATCAAAAAACAGGCAACCAAATGAACAGACATTTCTCAGAAAGAGAAGTACAGATGGCTAACAGATACATGAAAATATGTTTAACATTAGAAAAATGCAAATTAAAACCCTGAGACTGAGACTCCATCCTACCCCAAAAAGAACAGCCATCATCAAGTAACCATAATTAAAAATACTAGAGAGGTTTGTTTGCGGGGAAGGGAGCTTCTACATTGTTGATGGGAATGTAAACTAGTACAATAACTATGGGTATGGAGATTCGTCAAAAAACTAAAACCAGAAGCTCCATTTGATCCAGCTATTCCTTTTTAGGAATCTCCCCAAGAGTTAAAATCATATTATAGTGGCCAGGTGTGATGGCGCACACCTGTAATCCCAGCATGCAACAGGTTGAGACAGAAGGATCGTTCCAAGTTCGAGGCCAGCATAGGCTACAAAGTTGAGCTCAAGGCCAGCCTGAACTTCACAGAGAGACCCACTCTCAAAGCCAAAAAAAAAAAATCATATTACAATGATATATGCATAAACGTGTTTATAGCAGCACAATTTATAACACGTAAGTCTTGGAAGCAGCCTATATGCCCATGAAAACACAAATGCAGCCAGGCACGGTGGCACATGCCTGTAATCCCAGCATTCGGGAGGCTGAAGCAGGAGGATTGCTATGAGTTTGAGACCTGACTAGGCCACACCAGCAAGTTTAAGGCCAGCCTGCACTAGATAGTGAGACTCTGTCTCCAAAAACAAACAAAAAACCCAGACAAATGGATAAAGAAAATGCACTACATATTTATACAACGGAGTACTACACTGCCATAAAGGAAAAACTTGAGTTATTTGTAGGTAAATGGATGTGCGCCTTGAGACCAGTGTTATGTGAAATAAATCAGACACACAAGCCTAACATGTTCAGAATGGCGCTGTACTTCGTATGTCTCACTATCACATCTTGAACCACTGCTGTATAATAAAACAATGAAAGCCACCCGACGGAACAGGCACGCATGTACTGTACCTCCAGTTCTTCAAGCCAGCAGGAACATGTTAAACATGAGAAACCCCAGATACGAATAGAGAGCAAAATAGAAGACAAGTAATAGGAAGCAGGGAGATCTTCTCCCAACGGCAAGGGGAACAAGAGGAGGAGGAGCAGGAAGAGATGGCAGGGAAGGGGCTCTGCTGACACACGCCTGACTTTCAAATAGGAACGAATGTTTACCTTACTAACAGTGAATAACGATGTACCCTTCACTGAAGGCAAGTTACCTGCATGTACTATCTACTGCTGTCATCTGCTTAAACCAGCAGCGCTCTGCACAAATGGCCCTCTCCTCTCCGCTTCTGGGGTCCTGCAGCCAGGCAAACCCCGTCACAGCGGCCAAGCCGTGCTGACGGCCCTGTGCAGCAGGCTCCATATCCCGCCAGCTCCAGGCGCTGAGTCACACATCTTCCTTAGGGGGCCCAGGGCCTCTTGCTGCGACCCAGCCTGCCCCAAGGCTCCCAGCTCTTCCCTCTGTTCTCAGCACAGCCCTGGGGTATGCACGGTGCCTGGGGTCTTCCTCCTCATGCTGAACGAGGGTGACCAAGAAACTGCTGTCCACCTTACCTTCCCACTGCCAGTGTCATGCAGTGAGGACTGACCAGATGAAGAGATGATCAAAACATCGCATATAGGCTGGGTGTGGAGACGCAAGCCTGCAATCCCAGCAC